ATTCTCTCGTCCTTGCTTCCCTTCCCTTTGTACAGCCATGCCACCCATCCTGTCTGCAGTTCCTCAGCCCCACTCGCTTCGTCTATCTCCTTTAAAACCTTCGCCCAGTTCACGGGGTCTAGTTTGAAGATCTCCCCGATTATTCCGTCCGGCCCGGCCGCTTTCGCGAACTTGGCCTGTTCGATTGCCTCCCTATAGGCCTGCCATGGCAGCCCATTGGCGCCCACTGCTTTTAGCTCATCCCGAAGCTTATCGCCTACTTTGACCGACCACCTTCCCGGCTCCGCCTCTTCCTTGGTCTTGTTCCATTTTTTGTCGGTGTCCTTATCCTCTTCTTCGGCGATGCTCCAGAGCTCCTCTATTCTCTCGCGGAAAGCGTCCGCGATCTCCTTGTCCGTCCTGGCGGTTCCTTTGTAGTTTCCACCACGGTCAGTCACCCTGATGCCACTACCTTCAGTGTTCTTCTTTCCCCCTCGGCTTGTTCCTTTATGTTGCCGCGCCATTTCATAGAGCTGCTTGACCTGGTCCGTCCTGCTTCCTCTAGCGAGGTTCCTGATTCTGTCTTTCCACCCCGCTGCCTTTGCTTCCTTTTCCAGCCCTTCTACTTCGCTCCTCAGATCCTCTTCCTGTTTGCGCAGGTTGCGATGCCTGGCCGCGACTTCTTTCAGCTTTTGCCCCAGCGTGCTGCCTACCTCGTTCTCCGTCTGCTCCTCTTGCTTCTCGTCCGGGGGGTTGCCAGTTCCTTTGTTCTTCCCCTCCGTCTTCTGCGGACCTTCTTGCCAGCACCGCCACGCGTTCGCCTTCGTCCTCCTCTCGTGGTATTTCCTCAAAAGGTGCGCTAAAGCGGCGCCCGCCTTCTTCCCTTCCTTTGTTGCTTTGACCCGTTCACGCCGGAGCTTTTCTAGCTCGTTCCCGGTCTCTTTCCTTTTCCCGTCTTTTAATATCACCGCGCCCAGCCTCTCCCTCTCCTTTGGGATGCTTGCCTCGGTTATGGCTTTCACCCGTTGAGAGAGTTCTTCCCAGTCTACCGGGGGCGCTGGCCTTCCTTCAGTCTGCTTCTGATCCTTGCCCCTTTTCCAGTCTTTGAGGCTGTTCTCTTCCTTCTGGTCCTTTGCCTGCTCCTCAGGTGCCTTGAGCCATCTCAGCCTCCTGTCTGCTATTATGCGGGAGAGGCGGGCGTCTTTCTCCCCGTCCTCTTTCCCATAAGTTTCACGCCCTTGGAGGGTCCTGTATGCGTTCAAAGACATCCTACTCGTCCAGGCCATTACTTCTTCGAGCTCTTTGGCCCTTTCTGCTTCAATGTCCTCGAGCTCTCTGGCATTGCCCGCCACTTTCTTGATTTCCTTCCATCGTTCTACCCTGGCCGTCTCTTCTTCTGCTAGTGCGCGGAGCGTCTTCGCTCTTTCTTTGTCTCCTATTTTGTCCCACTTCTGGAGGACGTCCTCTATCTTGTTCTCGACTGCCCTTCTACTTTCACGGAGGGCCTGCACCTCCCTCCACTTTTTCTCCTGTTCTCTCGCGTGTACCCTTTTGGTTAGTCGCTTCCGTATCCATCCCACATCGCCAGACCTCTCTTCGGTCCTCTTTCCTTGCTGGATTTTCTTCAGCTCACTCCTGAGCTCTCTGGGCGTCCAGTTGCACATATTCGCAATCCTTATCTGCCTCCGCTTCTCTGCCGGTGTTTGGGTGCGTGCGCCTCCCTTGTCTGCTTCCCCCGGCTCCTCTTGTTTCCGTCCCTTCTTTGTTTCCCTCTCTTCTTGTTCCTCCTTTTCTCCTTTTCTCTTCTGTTTTTGCTGCCTCTGTCCAGTTTTCTGCTGTAGCATGTCCCACTTCTCTCGTTGCTCCCGCCCGTATTTGGAGGGCCTCACCGTTTCCCTCTGGTGCCGTGCCATTTCTCGCACCCTCTCTCTGTCATACCGGATCGCCTCGACGTTCCCCGGCTCCTTCCGTTTTCCTTGTTTCTCGAGGAGCCCGATGGTAACCAGCATGGGGCGGTGGCCCTTCTTCTCCTCTTCTTCCTTTATGGTGTAGCCCAGTTTCCTCGAGCTCATGTCAACCTTTCTGATCCTTTCCGCCGCCGTCCTGTTGGCCAGGGCGTAGTCTATCTTGCTCCGTCCCTGTCCTTCTCCACCCGGGAGCGTGTACTCATATGTGTGCGCCGCTTTTGCCCTATTCTTTCCAGTCGTGCAGATCAGACGCATCCCGGCCGCGTGGGCGGTCTCGAGCAGCTCGCTGCCGTTTTCTGTCGTCGCTCCGTCTACTATCCTGCTCCCCGTGACCCCTTCGACCGTTTCACCTATCCGCCCATTGGCGTCCATCATCAGGAGCGTCGACCCTTTCCAACTTTTCATGGCCCCCCGCAGTTCCGCCCAGCGGTTCTTGGCGTCTTCTTCCCCTTCCTGTCTTCCGTAGTGCCCGGCTATATTGAGGCGGATCCTCCCGCCCAGCTGTAGCCGAATAGTTTGGTCGGTATCCGCGTCGATGGCCTCCATCTCCCTGTCGATGTCTTCGCTCCATACCATCGTGACCCCTTCCCTTCGTCCTTCGGTTTTTCCCGCTCGGGTGACCATCTTATATCCCTGCAGCCACCTTGTCCCGCTTGGGAGCTTGCTTTCCAGCATTACGGCGACGTCTACTCCGTATTCTTTCATGTCTTGCACTAAAGCAAACTCCCGGCCCTTCAGGGTGTTGCAGTTGTGCATGTATACCCGAAGATACTTCTTCTGCGGGGGCTTCTTTCGTGTCCCGTCCTCTCGGATTTTAATCCCTGCACCCCTGGCGGCCTTCCGCACTCCTTGCCCGACTTGTTGCCCTTTTGGTTCCCGGACATTGTCGAGGCCCCTGTGTATGCGCATTTCTTTTACGTCCATCGCGTCGCGCAGTTTCTTGGCGCGCTCTGCTACTTCTGTCGTTGTGCCTTCTTTTGCGTTTCTGTTCCTCCCGGCGTTTACCCTGATCACATGCGTCCAATCCTTGCCCAGGCGCCACGTGTTCCATTCCTTTCGCTGTATCCGCCAGGGTAAAACGTCGCAGCCTGCGCCCCGCAATCCCCTCACGAATGCCTCTTCTTCCTGTTGGATTACTGCCTGTTCCTGTCTTGCCTCTTCTCCTCCCTTCTGGTCCTTCTCGAAGGCTAGGGAGATCGGGCGCCCCTGTCCTTCTTCTATTCCTCTGCTTCTCCTTTTGATGTCTTCACTTAGCTCCGCGAGCCCCCTGCGAAGCCTGTCGGCCCTTTCCGTCATCGTGTCCCCGTTTCTCCCTGGCTTGCCTGCGTGGATCTTGTGGGCGATCATGGCCACCGTGCCACTCCTACCAGCCCCCGCCGTCCATTCATAGGCCACCAGGCTGCTTGAATGCGCGCTGCCCTGGGGCTCTGTGCTCCTTCTCTTCAGTTCTCCTCGGCCTATGGCTTCTCTCATTTTGCGCAAAAGTGGCCGCGTCTCCCCGCCTTTTTTCGCGGTTTTTAGGATGACTACCCCATCCGGCCACTCTTCCAGCCTTCCGCCTGCTTCCCTTATGGGTGCTCCCTTTGCTCTTTTCTTCACTCTTTTCACCTCCGTCCACTTTTCGCCTTTGGTGTCGGTTTTTTTTGCTTCTTGCACTTCTAAATCTACAGGCTCACGCCTCCTCTCCTCCTCTTCTTTGCGGTCTTTCTGCCGCCTGCGCTTTTGTGCTTTTTTTCCAACTCCTTCGCCTGTTTCCTTTCCTATTCCTGCCTTCCTCACGACCGTGAGGCTGCCTCCTTTTTTCTTAAGTTCCTCATTGAAGAGCCCCAAGACTTTTAGGTAGTCCCTCCATCTTCCCCCAGCCTGGCCGCACCCTGCTCCGTGGGGGAAGAAGAAACGGAGACCGCCTGCCCCCATCTGGCTGCCGAGCTGCTTAGCTGCGTCTTTCAGGCCCTCACTGAGCCACTGGAGCCGGTGCCGATAGCTTTCGCCGATTGTCGGCGGGCCCGGTGATTCCTGTCCCATGATGTTCACCACCTTCCCCGGGCCAAGCGCCTGGTCGAACACCCTGGCGCTGCCCATGGGCCTGTCCCTGTTCCGGTCTTGTTCCTGTTCCTTTGCTTGCGGGTGCTCGTTGAGGATGTCCGCCGATTGTCCCTGCATCTGCCGGGCCTTCCTGCTCACTACATGCAGGATGACCCCGCCCCGTTGGTGTTCTATTCGTCCAAACATCACCGCCGGGGGCACTCCCCTGGAGTTCCTCTTGCCCGCTTCGTCTGGTCTCCTCTCCTCCTGGCATGATTGTTGCCGCGCCTCTCCCTGCTTCCTTTGGCTTCCTCCCGGGTGGCCCTCCTTCTTTCCATTGTTCTCCTGTTTCCTTGCCCTGTCCTTCTCCTTCTGTTGCCCTCTCTTCTCCTGCGGTCCTTTGCCTGTTTCTCCCACTCCAGCCGACCGGGCCGCGGGCGACTGCCCTGGCTGTTCTCTACCTATTCCCAGCCGCGTCGTGGAGTTGTAGTGTCCGCCTGTGAATACTAGGCAAATCTCTGGCAGGTTGCCTGGGGCGTCCCCCGCCCCAGGTATCACGAACGTGCCCCCCGCGTCTGTATTCATGAAGATGCGGATATTGATGAGAAGCGTCTTGGCTAGGATGTCCAGGTCTTCCCCTGTCATCCAAGTCCATTGGGGCGCAAGCCCCCTGCTGCGGTGGTTGTTTTTGCGCTGTATCCTCCGTCTCATCCCCGCCACGACTTCCTCCATTCTCCACGCGTTTTTCTCTACTAGCGCTCGCACTTGCCACATTGTGCTGATGCCGGGGGGCGCGAGGTCCCTCGTCTGAAGCTGGTGGAGGACAGAGTGATACCCACAGTGTCCGTCCCCCACTACTCTATGCTCCCTGAGTCCCATTGCCCTCATCGCTGCGAGGGTTGCTCGCCTGCCTCTGATCGTTCCTAGTCTGTCTGGGGCAGCGTTCTTGCCAGTCTGGTCCCTTCCCTCCACCTTTTCGGTGGGTGTCGTCTCCTTTTTGGGGTTCCTTGGGTTCCCCGTCCCTTTTTTCTCCCCTGGGCATCTCTCTTCTCGCCCAGGGGCGGGGTCTGTGCGGGCCCCTGCCCTAGCATTTTGCACCCCCTCCGGCCGGCCGTCCGTTCTGCTAGAGCCGTCCACGGGCTGCGCCCTCTCCTCTCGCTCTCCTTCTGGCCAGCCGTCAGGGGCGCGCTTGTTGAGGTTCGTTTGGGTTATCCTCGCCCTAGCATTGTTTGTCCGGGTGTCCTCCCTAATATTTTTCTCGTAACTCTGTAAGTTGCCCTCTGTCATTTTTTTTTGGGTTGGCCACCTGTTTCCCGACCCTTCCACGGCGGTGCCCCCCGTGGGAGGGTTTTTTGTCGTCCCGGCTTGCCTCTCCTTTCGGCCGCAGCGGGTGCCGAGGGCCCGCTGCTGCCTTTTCTCTTCTCCCGCCCCTCTTCCCTGTTCGAGGGGCGTGCGGGCGTTCCTGCGCCTTTTGCCGGGGTGGGGGAGTGGTTTGGCGTGGGGCTCCTCATCCCCCCGCTGCCCACCCTTTCTCGCGTGGTGGCCAGCCTTCCCCTGGCCACTATTCGCGAGCCCCGGCCCCTGTGTGCTAGCTGGCTAGCGCCTTTCCCTAGCCTCCTTCTCTCCTTTGACCGATCGGCTTGCGCCTTTTCCTTGTTCTAGGTCCTTCAAGCTCGTTTTTTTCTCTGCCTGTTCTCTCCTTGTTTACCGATTGCGACGCCGACTGTGCCGGCCCACGTTCGACCGATCGGCGCACGCCTTTTTTCCTTTTTTTTTTTTTTTTTTGTGTTCTTCGTCCCTCGCGCTCGGCTTTTTTTCTCCTTGTTCTCTCCTTGCTTACCGATTGCGCGGCCGGCTTTGCCCGTCACCGATCGAGGCTTTTTGCTTTTTTTTTTTCTTTTCCTTCTTCTCTTCTTGGCGCTCCGCGCCGTCTCTCTGTTCGCTCTTTGTATTGTACCGATGCAGGCCCCTGGCGGGCCTGTCGTTGTTCCTTCTGAACACCAGACGGGGGGGGCCTCGTCTTCCTCTGCTGAAAGATAAGACTTTTTTTCTTTCCCTCCTTGTTCCTTCTTTTCTTCGTTTTCTTCTACTTATGCAAAAAATCTCTTAGGGAGATGAAAAGTAAATCCTAATGCAGTGAGCAGCCTGAAAAGGTTGCCTTCGTTTGCGTCGATAACATCGACACACTTTTCGACGGTGCTCTTTTCGTCGTTTTCTCTTACAGAGAGCTCCTCCCATGGGGAGCCCTTTTCTTCTTCTTCTTCTTCCTCGTTTTCTTCTTCGTTTTCCTCTTCTTCCTCCTCGGTTTTTTCTTCTTCCTCCTCTTCTGTGTGCTGCTCTTCCTCCCCGTGTTCTTCTTCTTCGTCGCTCCACATCTTCCCGACGGCAGTCACCTGGAAAATGATTTTTTTTATAAGTATGACAGGGAGGCGAAATAGGAGCAGGGAACATTCCAGCTACTAAAACTATGGCGCCAGTGCTGGTCTATAAGGTGATAAGGCATATCCGTTTAATACCTTTTTTTTTTTTTTTTCCTCTCCTTCCTTCCTGTTCTTTTTTCTTCTTTTCCCCTTCCACCTTTTTAGGTGTACTTCATGGGAATGATGGCCTGCGTAGAGACCAGCAGATTCCACATCTGCTCGAACTGCGACCATTCGATGCGGCAAGTCCACACGGATGTTTGAACCTCTTCCAGCAGTGTGCGCACTGGTGCGCTGTGCCTGAGCCTTTCCAAAAGGCCTAGCCTCATTTCTGACCGCATCAGAGTGGCCAGCGCTTTGGTCACCTCTTCGGTCATGTTCGTTGGCTCCTGGAACGTGACGACCTTGTGCGTGCTCGTCGTGCTGGTGGTCGTTGGCCCTGGTTGTGCTGCTTTGCTTAGCGCCAGAGCGTTGGCCACCGGTTTCTTTGCTGACCACG